AAGGAATGTGAGAATTTCCTGATGCTATCTGCAAGCAACTCCCGTTCTCCAAGATGAATTCCTGCGCCTCACAATGCCGCAAGTTCATTAAGAATAGATAAAACAAAACTTTCAAAGTAAGCAGTCACCCTCCTCCTAATGTCATGGGTATCTTCGGTTTGCTCGATGTGTCGTCGGACTCCTACAACCTTGGGAATCGCAGCTCACCTTTTTCTGACAGGACACGCAACTCGGGACCGGGAGGCGCTTCGTGCCTTCACCCAAACTGCTCAGAACATTCATTTATCGTCGTCGTCACTTTATATTAACACTTGAAGTAATATTGAGCCAAGTTTTGAAAGATTCAACTGCATCTGAGTGAATCGCAAAGAGTGGTTTGCTCTGTTTCGATACTTTCAAATATGAGGCGAAACAAATACAACAATTTTATTTGGACACATTGAATGCTTTGCTAGCACTCACTAGCTTGATGCATTGCTCGTGAGTCGTGCCCACTGTCCTCCGCACTGCAAATATGTGTGATCAGCTGTTTCATTTTGCAATTCAACTACTAGTAGCAGCTGCTCAATGTACTAGCGCTCACCGCTCATCTTAATCATCCTTGTGCACTTGCCAGCAATATTAATGGGTGTTGCCCGACACAGATCTGAAGCTCGTATGTCCCATCCAACCTTCAAGTCGGTGTACCATTTTCGCTGATACAACTAACATGGCATTGCATCTGTGCCTATTTCAACATTAGCCCTCACACCTTCAGTTTCTCACAACAAAAAGACTATTTCTGAACTTATCAATGTGGCAGAGAACTTACACTTTGTTCTAGACTAGTGTACGATCACCCATCCTGGCCGTGTCATCGCTTCATCAACCTACTGTAGGTTTTCTCACAATGGAGCATTCACAAGGACACCGACGATTTGACTCTATCACATATCTAGGATGCAACACCCTTGCATTGCATTCAAATTTCACAGGGTTACCCTGAACATCTCGATTTAAGAGAACAGTACAATTTCTCGCCGGTCATATCATCTGAGTGCTACCCACTAAAGGAAAATGGGAACGAGGAGATCATGATTAGCACATTACTACTGCCAGTGTGTCTTAGCTTTTTTTTGGAAAATACTTTCTAATCTACTGGACCCCCGGTGTCCTTTGCTTCTAAGAGTCGCAAATGTCTTGATATGAGGCATACCCCCATCAGTCCGCTGTTCCCATCAGCAAAAACCTTCGCATCTAATTCCAACTAATTGCTGGTAATTCTTGATAATTGGTGGAATTTCCGATAATTAGCAGTTTTAGAAGATTAGATGAATTATGTTACCTCTTGATAATCGATTGAAAATCCTCGAAAATCCTCGATAATTAGAAGGTATTGGTGAACAATTTTTGCACTATTGTCTTTACATTTGGATAGATAGATTTGAGTTTGCTGGCTCAGATCATACAATCACACTGAATGTTACATGAAAAAATAAGCTTTTGATTAAAGAAGGGTATCTAATAGGTAATATATGTTCGCAACCATAGTAGCATCATATGAAACCATCAACAATGAGATAGCTATTGAGAATGAGTCAGTGACTAGTCAGAGTCATCATCCATCATTCCATCAATGTCAAGGAGATTGAGAGCTGCATCTTGCTCTGCAGTTTTCTCAGTATGAGTGCACCTCAAAAGCCTGTAATGTCGAATCAATATGCGACGAATAACTCAGACCAAAGACCAGAAAATCTCACTGTACAGCCTCGTAAATGTTGGCCATCATGCGATGGAATTTTGTCGGTACTTTATCCCTCATATTTTCCAAGAACTTCACATGAAAAAAGTAAGTCTCACTGAACTGATTACCTGAGAAACTGAACTTCGCAGGTGAACCCACTGACTTCCACAACAGTGCAGCATACACCTTGAAAGAGAGTCAGGACAGGCATAAATGGAAAAGAAAAGAAATACTGCAGTTACAACGAGAGCCACTATGGGGATAGGAACCTCCAGATGGTTCGCTTTGTTTTGCGCGATCTCAATAAAGTGTTGTGCAAAACGGACACCGACAGACTGTGCGCCATTGAAAATGCAGCCGTGAATTAGGGCGATTAAGAATTCGCCCTGATAGGGCTTGTTCGGTATGGGTTTAGGAACACCTTGAGCCTAGTAATACAAAAATGTGAGCAAACATGACAGCGAATAGAATTAGTATCAACTTGCGTCAAACTTCATCACGTAGATATAGGCATGCTGCACAAGAAGACTTTTGGCCTTGTCGTTGTCTATGTGCCCCAGACAAAAGTAACCGGAGACGCCTGCCAATGCATCATCTTTCAGTTCACGGCACAGGATTGGGATGCGGGCATCTACCTATTTTCCCACCGGGCCATTTACATTAGCACTGATGGACTCAGATTCTCACAGAAAAGACTCACCAGGGCAGCCAGCAGCATGATATAGTTCTCGTCCAAGCGCAGACGCTTTTCAATCTCATGCAGACCCAATTCCCCAGCAACAGTTAGCAATGACTTGTGTGAAAGCTGATTTTTGTCGATCAGTTCTGGGAACCCATCAACAAACACAAGGTGACTCTTTGCATCCAAAATCGCCCATTTAACGACTCTCTTTGTATCCAGGTTCTGATCAAGGAGCTTCACATTCCCTGACTCAGTTATCACTAGGTGTGCTTTACTTTTGGCCACGGGAGGTACAGGCATCCTCGAACTTCTTGTTGTAGTGCTTCCTGCATTGTCCGAGTCTGGATCACCACTAGATTCAGAGTCTGAGACCGCCACATCATCAGCCCAGGCAGGGATCTGAATATTTGATTATATTAGTAATAGTAGCTCCAAAAAACGCTGAGGTAAGTTCTGACCTCTGTTGTGTGTTTGTGATCACGCGCAGTTGGCTTTGAATTTTCATGTGATGCTGTTTGATGGTGATACTGTTGTCGACGATACTGACTTGGAGGGAGGGCCAATGACTCTGGGACCTCATCAAAGAGCTTTCTTGTGATCGATCTTGGTGACTCATTCTCTCCTTCATCAATGTCCGAATCATCCAAATTCGAGCCGTTTGGATTATCGGAGTCGACCTCACGATCCACAGTAGCATCGTTGTTGTCATCTTCGTTTTGATGAGCTTTGGCTGGCGTGGTGCTTCAGACTACAATATTCAAATTCAACCAGCTTGTAAATTTTTTTGTTCTACTAATGAACTACTAACAAACCTTTCTTTTGAGCTCTAAGGTCTTCATCCATGGACTCGGCATCCTCATCATCTGAGTCTCTTACTATGGTATGTGACTGCTCTAATCACAATCAACCGCTAACATCTAGGTACAGTATCAAATCCACACTTATTTTTGCTGGATGGTTTCACGCCTGGTGCTGAAGTGGCGGTCTTCTTTTTCACCTGACTGGTTGGTGCTGCAGGCTTCTTCTTCTGCATAGTGAGGTCCACTGGCACTTCTTGAGGACCGGTGGTCTGGTTTTTTGATCTACTTTTCGCTTTGTCCACATTCCAGACTATGATCCAAACTTTGGTGAGTGTCACACATTAATAGAATTGTTTTCATCTCACCAGCGTTTTCCAAGGCTTTTTTCTTAGCATTGTGCGGCGCTGTCAACTGTTACAAGAACATCTAGATGCTTGGGCCCCTACTATTTTTCTTCTCATCCTCCTCATATCAGCCCTCGCATCACATCCTTACCCCGACCTCACTCTCGTTATCCTGGTCATCCTTGCATTCCCCTTCGCCCTCTACCTGTCACTGCAGCAAAGCCAGTACATCTGGCCGGATCCTTTTGCTGACAAAGCATACCCATGCTCCATTTCACCACCTGACTGATCCTGTGGACAATCCCTCTGCCCTTACCATCCAGACGGTAACCTATGATACGATGCACGATGCATCCCCTTTACCCTTTTCCCTTTCTTGATCTATGACTCGGTGCGCAGTCGCACATGCACATGTATATTTAGTTCCGCAGTTACACAATTGTTCCCCTGCGCGTTTCACTTCTTATTTCGATCTTTGACTCACTTTCTTATCTGCACGTTCAGGTTCACTCGTGTCTCACCTCAAACGTGCTTTCCTTTTATGGTCTTACCCTTTACCGCTTACTCTTCTTGGTAGTACGAGTTATCATCCATTAATACACTTCCTGTCCTCTATATAAACTTGCTACCATGTACCATATTCCTTAACTTGAATCTACTTGGTTCTTGACCTCCTACTCTCACAAGAGTGATTCCTTCTGCCTAGCCAGCAGTCTATATTCTATCTTCTTATCTGCTCATTGCGGATAAGTCCTTAGTCTCGATCTTTACTCATTGACTTCGTCAACGAGCAAAGCCCCCTGTTAACTAGTCGGACTTCTGTCCTTCTAATTAACGACGATCTTATGATTAACCTTCGGGTGTCATAAGCCTTGGCAGATACACTTATTGTCTAGCACCCGCTTGACATAAGCTACCCAATTTGGACATAGGCGTCAAATCTTACTTGCTGAAGCCTCACCAAGTAAGACCCCTAACCTTGGGCCAGCCCAAGGACGTCCTCGACCGTTGACGACACACGCTCTGTTTGAGCATCGCCAACAGATACCATCCAAGTCGTAACATCAACGCACATGATAAGAGCCTCTTGCATGACAATATATTCACTTACTGTGGGTGCTACAAGGTGCGGACATTTTGTTGTTTTCTTACTAATGAATGATAATGAATGATGGTACTAGTGACCTTGAAAGACGGGACAGATATTAACCTGAGGATGAAGGAATGTGGGTGTGAGGAGGTATGTCTATTAAGTTTTTCGTTAAGGAATATATGGGGAGCTAAATTTCTAGTTTACAGTCCGCCAATTGCAACTATGGAAAGTACACTAGTGTCGTCCCTGCAGACTCTATTGCATACCTGCACTGCCAATGGGCGCCTCTTTCAAGTTATTCGGTACCATCACTCTTCGCACTTACCATTTACAACCACATTTGCCCTGCAATTCGAACATGCAAACCTGCCCAGCATGTAGGCACGAAGGCCTTACTTTCACTGGCCTTAGCCAGCATTTGGCCAAGAGTCAAGACCCCCGCTGTCAAGCGCTCTATCGCTCACGTCAACCAGTCAACCGCACATCCACTGAAGACCACCATATGGAAGCTGAGGAAGAACCGGTTGAACCACCCATCTTTGAAGGTGACGACTTCGAGGGTGAGAACTATGGTGATGGTGAAGTAGACTATGAGATGGAGTGGTGTGATGATGTATCTGAGTCTGAGTATGCTGATAGCGACTCAGATGATGGCATATCCATGGAACCAGAGTGGAAGCCTCCTGTCCCTGATCCTGTGGGAGACTGGCTGCAGGTCCAGGAAGATGAAGTTGCAGAAGAAGATCCTGGCCGTGATGATCGCATGCAAGTTCAAGAGCGTGCGCAAGGACATCATGGTTTCGTAGCAGTGCCATATCCAGATCCACGGGCAGGCCAAGTGATAAGGCACCACGCTGATGACGATGCCGCCAACACGAGATATGGAGCGTGTTTCGATGATGGAAACAACCCGTATTTTCCTTTCTGCTCCCAGATTGACTGGGAGATTGCAAGATGGTCGAAACTGCGCGGACCCAGTTCTATGTCATTTACTGACTTGCTAGCAATCGACGGAGTGAGTACTTCGCTATTCACATATATTATAAATGTCTGACCGTAAATTCTACTAGGTCAGGGAGTCTTTGGGGCTCTCCTTTAAAAATGCGAAGGAGCTGAATGCAATCATTGACTACGAGTTGCCAACTGGATGCCCGAAATTCAGGCATGAACAGGTTATTGTTGCTGGCGAGGCTTTTGATGTGTACTACCGTGATGTTATCGACATTAAGGCACTCTACGGTGATCCCGATTTTGCGGATTATCTCGCATTCACTCCAGAGCGGCATTATGCCGACAAAGATCAGACCACATGCTTGTTCCACGACATGCATACAGGGAAGTGGTGGTGGGACACTCAGGTACGAAGGATCATCTGCATTTGTTGGATTAAATACTTACATTTGTCTTAGAAAAAGCTTGATCAACGCTGTCCTGGAGGCACAATCATACCAATCATCATTTCATCTGATAAAACGCAAGTGACCCTGTTTCGCAATAAGGCTGCCTACCTGGTTTACCTGACAATCGGAAACATACCGAAGGAGATCTGTCATAAACCTTCACACAGCGCACACATCCTCCTTGTATCACGCGTGCATGTCTTGCATACTGGGCCCACTCAAAAATGCGGGATTGGATGGTGTCAAGATGCACAGTGGTGATGGCGCTCTTCGCCGCTGTCACCCTTTGTTTGCCTCCTTTGTCAGGGATTATCCAGAGCAGCTCTTAGCTACGGGCGTGAAGTTTATGGAGTGCCCTAAGTGCGACGTTGACGCTGGTGACACCAGGAGCAACACAGTAGCCTTTCACCTGCGCAATCTGGGCTCAGTGCTAGATGCACTTGCTGCTCTTGATCATGGAAGTCTTGCATTTGTCTGTGCGTGCGCTGCTGTAGGCATCAAGCCCATTGTTCACCCATTCTGGGAGGATCTCCCCTTTGCAAACATCTTTCGTGCTATCACCCCTGATGTACTACATCAGCTGTACCAGGGCCTAGTAAAACATCTTGTCCAGTGGCTCTCAGAAGTGTGCAGAGCAGCTGAAATTGACACTCGATGTCACCGTCTCCCTCTGAACCACAACATACGATTATTTACAAAAGATATCACCACCTTGTCATGTCTGAGTGGCAAGGAACATGCCCAGATTTGCTGATTTCTACTGGGAATCATCATTGACATTCGCTTACCAAACAATTTGAATGCAAGTCGTCTCTTACGTGCAGTGCAGGGACTACTGTATTTTTTGTACCTCGCACAATATCCCTGCCACAGCTCCGAAACTCTAGAACTATTGCAGGTGGCACTAGACACTTTCCACGACAACAAGGGTATTTTCGTCGACCTTGGTATATGGAAGAATTTCAACTTACCAAAGCTCCACGCTGCTCGCCATTACCCCCATATGATCATGCTGTTCGGTACAACAGATAACTACAATACTGAATACACCAAACACCTCCACATTGACATTGCAAAGGACACTTACCATGCGACAAACCACAAGGACGAATTCATTCAAATGACTGCCTGGTTAGAACAAAAGGAGAAGATACTTCGCCATGACAAGTATATTCGCTGGCGGATTTCTGGTAGACACAAGTCTGTTGCTTATTGTTCACATCCTCCTGACATGAGCTTTCGTCGTGAGCAAGTCATGACAAAACACCCTAGTGCAAAGGCTGTTAGCCTGCAGAAACTTGTTGACGATTACTGGTGCGACCCATTTCTGCGAGGCATTGGCATGCTACATTGCTCGACTCAACAATTCCCATCATCATATTCCACGAGGTCAGGAACTTGACGACTTGGCCATTGATGTTCATTTTCCTTTCTGCACGCTACCCGTTTTTCACAAGGTTAAGTGGGTGTCATTGGACACCCGTGGCCATGGCGAGGCATCTGTCACGCTTGACAGTATACATGCTAAACCACATCAATGCTCTGGTTCTCGTCTGGTGGCTCAACGATCTGATACAGCATTAGTGGATCAGAGGACAGGTGATCCAGGTTTGAAAAGTACGTGTTTTGATCAATTACTATACTATGTGTTGCTGATAACTGGTATGCAGGTTTGCGGGTGGGTCGAGTTTGTGCATTGTTTGCTTTGCCACCCAGATCAATACCAATGTTATTTTCACCTACTGTCCAAGTACCCAGTCATCTTGCATACATTGAGTGGTTCATGCCATTCCCCCCAGCACCTGACCGGAACCATGGTTTCTACAAGCTCTCTCGGGTGCTAGCATGCGGTGGAGAGTGTTTGGCTTCCATTGTGTCCGTCGCCAATATTTTGTGCGGCACTCACCTTGTCCCAAGTTTTGGCACTGTTGTGCCACGTGAGTGGACGAGTGATACTGTCCTAGACGACTGCGAGAGTTTCTGGTTGAACTCGTACTTGGACAGACATACCTTTGCAAGGTTCAAATAATTTGACTGACGGTACTACCTGGTACCAGTAGCACGTAAGTTTCTCATAACAACTTTCTGTGAAACACCAGACTGATATCGCAATATACTAGTACTAGTGGAAGGTCAAGAATGGTTCCGCACTATCATGGCTTGGCCCAAGAACAATTCCGCACCTATTTACTTGTCCCAAGTACTCCCCCCCCCCCCCCCCCCAATAGATGGACCTCTCAATAGACGTCCATGACTGGACCAACCGTCTCAATGACAATGAGCATCACTTCGTCTCACACGTCCTCACCTTCTTCGCTGCATCCGACGGCATTGTTAATGAAAACCTCATTAAATGTTTCTCCAACGAGGTCCAGGCTGCTGAGGCCCAGTGCTTCTACGGCTTCCAAATGCCATCGAAGGCATCTTCTTCTCAGGTTCCTTCGTGTCCGAGTCCATCTTCTGACTCGAGAAACGTGGTCTTATGCCTGGTCTTACGTTCTCCAACGAGCTCATTAGCTGTGATGAGGGTATGCACACCGACTTTGCGTGCTTGCTCTTTAGCCACCTCAAGCATCGCCCGCACCCTAACACTGTCAAGTGCATCATTACTCAGCTGTTACCATTGAGCAGAAGTTCCTGATGGGACCGTCATTTCAATCACCTTACCCTTCTTGCCTGACTGTCTTTCCAGATGCTCGTTTTGTATGTGCGCGTGTGTGTCATCTGTGTGTAGAATAGTTAACATACATATCAGCTGCTGTATATAATGATCCAGACATAACAATCTAATGGTTTTATTTTCGTACATTGCTTGAAGTTTGTTTAGAAGATAACTTGAATGCCTTATGTATTATCAGGAATTTTTATTGACTGGTGGATCTTTAGACTATTAGAAGGTATTATGCTAATTAGATCAATTGTCGAAAATTTGGATAATACAGATAATTTGAACAAATTTAGGGCGGGAGGGTTTTCCTGATGCCCGCCGGCCGTTTTAGACGCGTACTTTGTTTGCAGGTTGAGTAGATGTAAGATGTGTCTCAGCTTGTCAAGTGCTTTTGGATGAGGAATGGAAATGAGATGATGAACGGCCCGGGGATGACGCGATGGCACCTATCGTCACTGGGTGTCTGATAATTTGCTTCAGGCGCACGAAAAGGTCCCCTGTATATGTAGCGTCGCCTTAGCATGTAAATTACTTATACCAATAAATCTATATGTTAGGAATGCACATCGCTATGACACTGAAATACAATGACTATCTTCAAGTCGTTACATGTTTCAACTGATCTTATGTCGCATGTATGGGCAGGCAGCTAATAGCACCAGTAGAATTTTTGTCCAGAGCATCTCTTTCACATATATTTTGCGACATCAAACAACTCAAGCAAGCACCACGACAAAACTTGGAATATATAAAAACAAAAACCACTCCCTACAGACGGCCTGCTGATTGTCAATCACATCAAGCTTCTCCCGTACTACACACTATTACTAGTTTCCACATAGACGCGTTCCTCAAAAGCAATTTAAGGCATATCGGTTGCTGTATCAGAGCAGGCCACGAGCTTAGCGTGGTATTCTCGAACGCTAAGGATGAGGCGTGGTCCCAGCACAGATAGCTGCACCGTGTGGAAGATTTGAACGAGACAAATATAAATCTGGATGTCCTGGGAACTTACGTGCTATAGAAATGATGAATTAGGTCGTATGTAGAGGTCGGTGACAGATCGGCATACCGATAAGAATTGTGGAAAGAGCAAACTGATCTGGACGGAAGAGACAGCCAAAAAACTAGCGCGCGCAAAACTTCAGCGGAATAATATAACCACGTTCACGTCATGAGCTCACCTTGCAAAGTAACTCATGTGAGTTTGCATTAACACCGTGAAACAGTCTCCGATAATACCTCCTGTTGAGCGTGTTCGGATTTCACGGAGGTGCTTCACAGCAATCCAGATCGCAAGACACAGAGTAAGAACCTCCCATACAGTAGCAAGTATCCAAGTCATGGAACCCAGAAATATAGAATTTCCTGGGTAGCCAATTCTGCACCTATATATGCCGGAAAGAATGTATTCCTCTGGTACATGTCAGTGAGCCTGATAGGCCTGAGCATGTCATATATAATAAAAGCTTACCCCCTGTGACCTGCTTCGTCACCATTGCGCCCATCACTTCGATGGGAATTCTGATGGCCAGGAAGGTGACAACGAGAAATATCAGCACCTTTCTGGATCCCTGATACATAGCATACAACCGAGCAATCGCGATGACTTGCATCATATTTCAATCAAGTTAATATCATCGAGGTATTATAACTCACCGCTCAGTATTACTTCTACAGCCTCATTCATCCAATCAATTACGTCAATCATCATACGGCCTGATGAATCCAGCAACATTCATTAGTTATCAGGTTCAGAGTATCACAGGCTCGCAAGACACTCACAACTGTGGGAGTCATTATATTGAACCAACGAGTATTTCGAGAATCTCACTTACCCCTGCATGGTAGTTCAGATCTTTGAACGGGAATGGAAGGCAACAGTGCGTAATACTCACTTCACCTGTCTTCGCAACCGTTGGAAGACTGACTGTATGCCGCACGTCACAAGAAAGAAGTAGAGTCTATGCAAGGAGACATACTCAACATGTTAATTCTGATTGTGAAAGACGGGCAATGAGCGCAACACCAATAGCTTGAACCTCAAAACGTACATAGAGAATGCTATTGCAACATATCGTGCCTAGGATATGTTCAGGTCAGTTCAGTCTGCTAACGCGCTTAGAAAATACAAGCTACATACAACAAGATACAAAACTGTCATTATAGACCAGCGTTGCCTCTGCCGCAAATTAGTTGCGGCATTTTCAAATCGTTCTTTTGATGTGGGAGTCCGCTCACCCAGATTAGTTCCACCTATAGAGCTGTTGTCAGCGAGATGGCTGCTCCTGTGATAGTGTCGACCTACCTCTTGTCCGAACATAAGTCCTAGAAACTTCATGATGTCAGTGACTTTTTCATACTTCATGTCACTCACCCCAATCGTATATTACCACAGCACAGGCAATAACTGTGAAACCGCAGCCAAGGTTAATTGAGCCGTCATCATGGTGATAATGCGGTTGGCTCTCCACGGACCTACAAAATAGCTGTAAAAAATAGTCGAGTAGATGGTTGGCCACCAACTGGGATCGTTTGAGATTATAGTCATACTATTAGAAAAGGGAATCAGCGAGCGGGGGAACTTGGTGGACGTTGTGGACGTATAACTTTGATTGCATTCATCGTGGTTGATATTATACCGAAGTGAGATTTGAAATTTGAGGGATTACTCATCGGTTTATCGAATATTGAAGTGTTTCAGCGTAGCTAGAAAAGGATTAATGTGCATCCTTGGATATATTTATATACTGCGCATACTAGGGTACGGACGATAAGTCAGCTTGGTGTTATTAACCTATGTTAATAATCAAGTGCTTGCGTAGGGTTATTAACAACCGACTTTTCGTCGGTACCCTAGCGCATACAATGACTCGCGAACTTTGAACGCCGCAAAATTTCAAGTCGAAGCTTCTGAAGGATGAGTATAGCTTACCGTCGCATTATGTGATATCCGTACTCTTCCATGTAGGTGTATCCACTTTACGCGTTATCTGTGCACCTGAGTTTGTTCGTACATTAACGGACATGTCTGAGACTTGCAGCAAACTCAACAGTATTTAAATTCTTTGGGTATAGTATAGTCCGGCAGAAGTCCAGCGAGGGGTTCGGCCTCGGCCCATCAATGACTCGCCATTGATCTAACACAGGTTTGTGGTGACTTGCGAAGTTGCGATACGACCAATTTTTACTTTCTCCTGATTCATGTACATTCTGATTAGTACAAAATCCAATTCCTCGTCATAAATCACGATCTACGTCTGTGATGACGAAGGCAGTTGTATGATTCACGCCAGTCAGTGGTTGATCAGACGGTCATTGGTCACCTTTACGAGGGCCGTCCTAGACGCTGCTGCATAGAAAAAGCTAACGATCAATAATGAAGTCCTCCATCTCCCCCGTGACATAGTTATTACATATGTACAATGACAAGTATAGTGACAAGCACAACTCTCAGATCTCATGAGCCATAAACACATATACAAAAAGTGCAAGACGTCAAGCAGATATTTCACATAGGCACCATACCTCCCTCACATGCAAAGTCGGTCGGACGCACGTCACTGGTAAGGAGCGCGAAAAACCGCGCTACCTTGCTTCGTGCGGAAAGGGGCACACCCCAGACCTTGAGATACTTCTTTACGTCCTGAGGAGTTGCTCCTTGTCCCCTGTGCGACACCGATTAGTCGTCAGGAACACCTTGATGATATTAACCAACTTACCCAGCCAAGTTTTGTGCCAAAGCCATGAAGCTGTCAATGTCCACTCCTATTAGCATCGTCAGCGCTATCTCAGGTCATCCAGAATCAGACGTGACATTACCATCAAGTTTGTACCAAGAGATTTTCTCGATCTCCCGAAGGAAGGTCCATGCCTTCGTATCTTGCTCGGTAGCGTCCTTGCCGCTAGAAATGGCTGCCGCCAGGTCATCTCGGCCAAAGAGCTGTAGCCAACGTTGGCGACGGGCTGCTAGATCAAGATCGGGGAATTTGATGGCTGCAACAGGGAAAAGTTAGCGATATAGCCGGGTAAGATAGCTGAGGTACGGACTGGCTGAGAACGGCATAAGCAGTGCCTGCTGCTCATCCGTCAATACCGCAGGCCACAGACAGATACATCCATAGAATTTGAATTCTTGAGTCATCAAATTGATACGTTCCTGACGGAGAATTAGTCATGCTAGCATAGCACCAACGATACAACAATCAAGGACATACAGGACCATCTGCACATTCACGGTTCATAAAATACTGTGTGATGTGTCTTCAGAAGGGGTTTAATGGATTATATGAGACGATACGTACGTCCCCGCGGTCTACGACTATCACCGCATTCCACTTCATCGCAAGCTAAGCAGCCACGTCGAGTCAGAGATGTAACATACATAGCCTGCGGATGGTACGTACCGATGCTACTTTGGCGGCCCAAGGTTGCACATTGGCAGGGTCGCATGTCATTGGGATATCACCGGCCCGAATGTCAAGCATCGGGCGCTTGAGCATGTTGCAGATCGCGTGAGCAACTGTCTTTTTGCCGGTTCCTAGGGCCCCTTTCAGGAGGACATTCTACAAATAGTGAAGGTAAACAAGAGTCATGCAGGAGTATCCCGTCAAAACATACCATTCCTTCCAGAGCATTCTCTCGCTGCGGATTGCCAGGAGAACATCCAATGGTATCCAATATGGATTGAATGAGATCCTGCAACAAACGCGTTAGCTCGCGAGACAATAATTCCAGAGCTATTCCTGCCGTACCATGGTCTGTTGATCCTTGACCAGCTTGCTCCACGCATGTTTGTCGTAAACAGATTCATCACAATTCAAACCCTTGAACGTGATCCATTCCTGCACACCAAGGTTGGTTTGAAGATCAGTAAAAACGGGTAATGTACTTACGTGATTTTCGATGTCATATCCTGCAAACCAGGACAGGCGATCGACCGCAAGCGCCTCCATGTTTTCCAAAGGCAGCGGTGGAAGGTTATCTGTCATGGGGGGAGGGAAGAACATGTTTGATTACGATAGACGGTGAAGAATTGATTTGGTTAGATGGGAAGGTTTAATGTCGGTACCAGGGAATCCATGGAGGTTATATATGAGAAACTGAAGGGTGGAAATGTGGAATATAGGACTATGCAACAAGGTCCATGCAATAGCGGGCAAAGCAAGAATGGCTCGAGTGTGAGCCAAGGGACAGTGAGCGATATAGTGTGGAACATGAAAATTACCCGTGAACAATGAAGATGGGAAGTAGAAGCGTACAATTGTCTCATGGCTCAGGCAGCTGCATGCGAAGTGGCAAAATGCCGAATGTGGTGTCGATATGTTTGTTCTTACCTTCAAATCACATTCAGCAGGCTTCGTCTGATGGTCGATGAGTTATGTCGTGGGAATCACAATGGCTTCGTCTTTTCGTTTGCGCATTGTAACTAGGTCTGGTGTTTTAGCCATAATCATGCGTATCGGCCGGGCCGACAATCAACTCGTCTGTGGTAGTAGCCTGGACATAAGCCTATGCGTCATCTGTAATCTCGTTTCAGTACATTGTAAATTGAAAGCGGACGTTCAATGGTCCATTGATACATAAGAGATTCGGTTCGTTGGTGTGGGAGAGCCTGTACATGCTAAAGAAGTGGGTAATGTCAAGGTCAGTCATCAACAAAAGTAGTAGGCTAAGGTCGAAGGGGACACGCGCATCCTGTGAGACTTGCTTCTCCTAGACTTTTATTGCCGAGTACTATACGGACAAAGAAGTGGAAACACCAGTGGAGGTTTGGAAGATGTAATGAATAACTTCACCTCTAAGTATTCTCTGCCCCATCAATAAGTCTGGGTCGGGCGGCCTTGCCTAGTTGTATTGATTCCATCTGTGAAGTATAAAATATACTGCATCAGCAAAAGAACAGACGATAGAAGAGGGTAACTCACTCTATCCAAATGAAGTGATCGACACACGTATCCCTGACTCACCCGCAAAGACTAGAGCACACATGGCCCAAACATTAGTAGCTCACAGTCCGTGCAGCCCTGGACCAACAAAAGAAAAATGTGTACCGTTTGTCTATCACGTCGTCCATTGATCAAACCAGGTGCTGCCACTCCCACTCCTAGGCAATACTCGAGTCTCGTCCATCTCGCCTTGTCCAGAAAGTAGTAGGATTACGAATTGAAGCCCGAAGCAGGGCTACTATCTCAGGAGTTTGAAATTTCATAGGTGCCGGTCGTGCCGGAGGTACTTCCGTTCATATCATCTGCTCTCGCTCAGGGTTACTAAGCTTAAGTTTCAACCATGTGCATGAATTCTGTACGACCTTTTTATCGCTCGCTGCTCGAGATACAGTTGAGAACCTCTCAACGGACTTTACGGTGGCCCTCTCAACGACACAACACCAGCAAGTTCTCGAGACTTTCTCGCGACTCGATATTCTTTCCCAACTTAAGGATCACCGCACGTACGAAATTGAAGAAACCTTCTTTCCAAGTTGCTATGGAGGGTCGTTCCGAGATTGAATACAACATGAGGTCCATTTGCAATCCACGAAGAGGACAGCGAGAATTTTTCCTTCCTCGTCGAAGCTAGCTACTGCTAATGATCATCGTCATCTGCCAAATCCAAACTCCTCGCTTCGCCTCCATTCTGACCACGTCAATACATTCTCACCATGACCCATAGTCAGAATGATTAGGAGTCTACGTGTCTCCTTCACATTAGGGTGGTACTACAATCAACTCACAACACAAACATTTAGTTTTAGTAGTGATCAGCAATATCTTCGTCTCACCCACCCATATGCAATGCTCGACTCGGAGTCTCGTCCACCGTGCCATCTCAAGAAAGCAGACTGCGAAATGAAGCCCGAAACAGGGTTATTGTCTCTTGCTGAAGAACTGATGTCTTATATTCTCAGCTTTCTTCCTTGTCGAGATATTCTTCGTTGCACATCTGTGAGTCACAATATCGATCTATGATCGTGTCGATGTGATCCTCGTGCTAGTAAATATAATTCTACACTGATAATGCTCTTGTAGGTGTGTAAGACCCTTCGTCAGACGTACATGTCCTCCTCCGAGCTTCAGTATATCGTCGAACTCAATGGCCAACGGTTGCTCCCTGTCTCCAACACGAACAACCACACTCCTACTTCCAACTGTCTACAGACCTTGAAAGACAGGGCCCACGCATGGTTCAAGCTTAACATGCACTCTTTCAAAACAATCACCATACAAGACAACTCACTCACGAACAAAAGGCTCGTTATCGACGGGCATTTTTACTCGTGGAATTTTCGTAGTGACCTGGCCATGATAATTCCAATATTACCAAAGCCCTCGCAAAGAAAAATCGAGCGCTGCTGGTCTTCAGCAACATTGTCCTCGGTACCCCACTCAATTATGGATGTGTTGATGGACCCAGCGCAAAACCTGATCGCCGTCGCGTGTCGTGTTCCTTACGAGAATGATCCTCTCACTCGGATGTTCAATATTAAACTTGGAGCCCTAGATGGTGGTATTCACCCACAAGCTGCTGGACGGACACTAGTTCTGGTGCCGCCCGATAGGTTCAGTGCAATGTCTACGAAGCTCGAGTGTTGTGGGAGGCATATAGCCTTGCAGTATTGCTCGTTTTCTGTACCTGGTGTGACTCGTTGCACGCAAGACTGGCACCTGCATATTTGGGATTGGAAAGATTCGACGACATCGAAGGTGAGGCTTTATCTGAAGTAGTCCAAAGACTTGATGATTAATTTTGAATTCAGAGCTTCCTATCCTTCCCACCCGACATCCAGGTTGATTTCTGTTTCCTTGGAAATGATAGGTTGCTCGTTGTCGTTGGCGGCGATCTGACGGTCTATTCAATCGAAGATATGTCTCAGACGCCACGTTTGCTGGCGTGTTTCCGATTGCCATTCCCATTGTCGAACATACAATGCCTCCTTCCGATGGATCATACCGAACAGATGCAGATGCAAGCCCAACCACAAACAGTGACGCACACCTCAGACCCTACACATCAACTACTATGCCTCATTGGGTCATATAATACTTCCACTGTGGTCTTCATCATCTCTACGAGGATTTTCTTCGACCTTGACGAGGTTGCAGCGACAATGCCGAAACCATGGGGATGTTGGGGCCCTTTGAATACTCGTATTTTCTGGTATCTCCAGCAATGCAAAGTCCACGTTTGTGGAAATCGAGTTTTGCAGGCTATCAGGAAGACTACGCCAAATAAGAGTCGTGTCAAGCACGAATTACGTCTGATGGACTTCAGCCCAATGGCTGTGACAAATAGGCGGGGTCTTGGGCGTGTGGTTAAAGAGCCGTCTACGATAAAAACGAGTCACTTGGTGGAGAGCGCCACCGAAGAAGAGAGCTTCGAAATTACAACATCCTTGCCTTACGTCGATGTCGTATTGGATAGGAAGATCAATGTTCGCGACTTGAAGGGCATGTGGCTCGACAAGGATAGGATTTATTTGCTCAACGCAATTGAGGAAAGTCGAGGTTCTTGGTTTCAATGGCGATCTAGCAGGTTCAAGGTCATCGAAGTCTAGAGCAGAGCTCGTCGTAATCATATATGTCAGCTGAGCACAATATTGGTAGTTACTTATGAAGATAGATTGTATCCCACTTCTGGCGTAAGCACGTCATTGAGTGCGCCCATGCGACCAACGCATAGCCGACCACCTCCCGAAGAACCGCGGGAGTTGTCCAAGATAGCTGTTCTTTTCCAATCAATGGTTCATGGAACAATTCGTCGTTCCTTACAGGCACTTGTAAAGGCTGTAATTCTTATCCTCCGGATCCCTTGATTTGGCGGAACAAGATTACGGAAAATAAGTAACGCTGAGGCGCTCAATCTTTGTGACCCTGTTTCCAAGCTCGCTGTTTTGAGATTGACGAATTTTGCACCTGAGGAGTGATATGTCAGAGAACCTGAGTGATACATACACAATCGCGAAGGTCTAAAGCGTGCCGCATGCCTTCAGAGGACGCAAATGCCATCAAGTGCTTTGATAGGTAACCAGATAAACGTGAAAAGCATCATCTGTACAAACTGAATGGCTACTGAGAGTCTAATTAGATACCGGCGCAGCAGATGTTACATTTTAGGGTGCTATCCCAGACGATTTCGTCACCTTCCTCGCAGTAAACGTGTGGAGGACCTTGGCACCGATAAATGCATGAATCAGCAGAAGCTGCATTCACCCCGACCGCAGCGGCAAGGATGGCAAGGTAGTAAGTGAACTGGATCTTCATGACGTCTAGCAGCTTATATACATCAGTGATGGCCGTCATTGCCGGGAAATCGCTCACCGCACAATTTGATTGTGGTGTACGCAAAGGTGCTGATAGTGGCACGTCCAGGAAGAACTAAATGCAATAGATATGTCGCTCAAGTTGCTTTAGTCTTCAAGCTTCAAGTCTCATGATTACTCACGTAGACGGTGCGATTATCTTCAAGTTTGAACTTGGGATCTGTGATACTTGCCATTCAATTTATATCAACCGTGTGGCAGATCTGGTTCTGCCTAAAGGTACTCATACGTGGCAGCACCACGTCAGGGACAGCCAACATGTTGCTCATAGCGACTAGACGAAACGTTCACGTGGGGTATTTCAAGTTGGCCCGTTTCAGCAGCCAAAAATGACAGCAATGGCGTGGAACCAGCTGCGTCACATTCAGCTAAGTCTTCTTGAATCAAGATGAGTAGCTAATTCAATGTCTGTAAGCCACTTACACTGGTCACATATTTTTGTAACCCTGGTACGCATCTACTCGCTCCCACCCTAGCTCAAAGTCAAGGTGGTGCCATCATGGCTGAGACTCAAATATTTCCTCCTCTCATCCCCGATAACATGTTTCAAGATGCTACGGTCACATCCCGCTCTCGATATCGACAGGAAAGACCTCCAAGTTAGGTGGCAGGTAGTCCCAAGTGGCAGGAATTCAACAATTCAAGTCGAGCGCGAGTTGAATAGGTACCGTGCCCGTACGCTCGTTGCCTGATGGGCCCAGGTCATCCGCCAACGAAGAGAGATCGTAGTCGTTTAAGACGCCCGTCTTTCGGGTACCACATCAAGGTTCTAGGGCTAACACCACGATTATAGACCTCTTCTTTCCACAGAGTGAGGTGTCCTGCAGGCCATGTTAACGAAGAGCCTCATAACTGCATTCAAAATACGTACATAAAATACATTGGTGCCACAAATCGAAAAGCTGGTTGGCGTGGAGCTCTGTGATTGGGTTGAGCTTGCGGAATACGAGAATGTAGAGCACGCGACTCCCCGTAGTGGGTTTCAGAACATCGAGCGCTTCTCGGGTGGCGAACGTAGATGCGTGAACGTACTGTGTACAGTTGCGTGCCTCTTAGCGATTCCCAACCTTTTTCAGGATCTCCGGCTCACTAGTGCGATCCGCCTCTCCCCAAAATATCTTGGCCACCATCCCATCCTGAAAGTTCCCGTATTTCTCCACAAGTACCTCACTGGTGACAGGGACCACATTGGTGGCCCATCCGACACCGACCAAGCCGATGTTCTCACTGACGACTGAAGCTCCACGACTGTTTGGGGTGGACTCTAATTTACGATCACCTTCAACTGGTCCATTTGCGCGTGGCGGAGTAGATGATGTGCCAGTCCCTCCAGTAGGGGACATGACGGTAGGTGTTCAATGATAACACTGGCTGAGTGTGGTGAGCAGAACTACTGAGGTGGAAAAAAGTGAGGACAATAAAGACTAATACTTCCTCTTGCCCTTTATCCGGTCAACCAATGTGGCGCAAATAGAGTGAACCATCGATCAATCTGATATGTGAGATGTGGAGGTGGTTGTGAACTTACAGTTACTTAGTTACCTACTAGCCCTAGGGGGAGCTCAGAGTAGACCGCTTTTGCTGTTGATGCATGTGAGCACTAAGGGTTAGCATATGTTATATAAGCAGATAACCTACTACTAATATCGCCACTCGCGGCTAAACCCAGGTGCACCCAGGTGCACCCAACCGTCTTGGTGTGTACAGTATGTCTGCTCAAATGGCTCGAAACCAAGAATACCCCTTGATTTGGCGGAACAAGATATTTTACCGAAAACAACGCTGATGCGCTCAATCGTTGTGACCCTGTGTTTCCAAGCTCGCTGTTTTGAGATTGACTATTAAATCTTGCACCTGAGTGATTTTTTTTTTTTTTTTTTTTTGTATCCTTGTTTATTGTCCGGTGGGGCGATGCCCTATAGTAGATAATACCTACAGTATGTACCTGTTTCTAATTGCGCTATGTATTTGGATGACTTTGCTAATGGTCCCTGGCGGTTAGGCTAGGACTGGGACACCAACTGAAGGCGAGTGATGATGGGTGGGTCAAGCAATGTTCTGCTTGACACTGGTTCTGTCTTTGTTCATGTTGTGTTCTTGGGTGGGGTTACATCTCCGAAAACTTATTCCAGCCTTCTAGTTCGTGCGATGTAACGGAACAATATCAGGAAATTCTCACATTACTTTATTTGTCCTTAAACAGACTTAATACACTTGAGTGTCTTGTTGAAAGGTGGATCTACTTGTCCAACATTTCAACTTGAATATATTCAGAAAGGAAATGTTGAGGTATATTGATATATATGTTTTATTATGCTTCACACTAGAGAAATATGAAATATGCCAGGTAAATAATGTGAGAGAGAGCAAACAAGTTTTGAGATAAGTAGGTTAAGCTGATTAAGGAGATTAAGGAATGTGAGAATTTCCTGATGAATAGTTTAATGAAGTCGCGGTTGTTGAGGAGCATGTGAAGTTGACTTATGTTGGTGCCCGCTTCTTGGTGTAGTGCTGCTCGTTGATGTGCATATCTTGGACATGTGAGGAAGTGTTTGACATTTTCTTCGTGTTTGTTGCACTGCAGGCATCATGCAGTAGGAGATTTGGATATTCGGTGGAGGTATTTGTTGAGGGGGGCGTGACCTGTGTGGAGTTGAAACAGGAGGGAGCAGAGACGTCAAGAAAAGTCTTCAATAAGGTTGGTGAAATGATCTGATGGCGTGGAGGGGTCAATTGTGCATATTCTGTCATAATGTGGTGAGTCTCGCATTGTTGCTTTTGCTTCGTCTTTGATGAAGTCTTTGAATTTCTGTTTTGCGATGGCCTTGCTGCGGGGTAGAATGGCTGGCATGCGTGTTCGGGCCTTCCCTTTCAATGATCTTGGGAGATGGGCTGTCTCTGAGGCTTGGCCTGTATGTCTGCTGCTTTGTTTCCTGCTATGCCCTTGTGACCAGGGGTCCACCAAATTGTGAGCTTTTGTCTGTCCTCATTGGGTAGGAGGGATCTGAGGTTGTCTAGGAACTTGTCGACAAGATAGTGACCTGGTTGGGATTGGAATGTGCTTGTTGATCTGATTGCGGCCTGGTTGTCCACTCCTAGTGCCATGGTGCCTTTTCCTCCTGCCTCTCTCAACAACTCGACTGCTAGGATCACCCCCACTATTTCTGCTTCGTACACTGTGTGATCCTCTTCCTTTCCCAGGTAGAATTGTCTCTCGCTGAGCATAACTCCCCCTCTCATCAATACCGCTGTGCCTCCCACTCCCCCATCTATTGCTGACCCATCCGAGTACACCCTAAGATCTTCGCTCGCTTCCTCCTCCTCTCTTGCTGCATCTTTCTCCTTGCTTGCGATGCTGATAGCTACGTCTGGCTCCCATTTGGTGAAGTGTCTTACTGGTAGGATCTTCTCCGTTGTTGCTGGGTCCATCTTAAATTCATTGAAGAGTCTGTGCAGTGGGGAAGGGTGTCTCTTGTGGCCCTTGTAGTTCCTTTTCTTGCAGAAATTGGACGCCGCCATTATGTGCTTTGACAGCGGGTGGGATTCTGGAAGGGTGGACATTCTGAGAGTGGCTCTGTGGCACGTATAGCAGTAGGACCTGTTGGAAATGGAGAACATTAGCAGTGGCTGTCTAACATGTCAGATGCGGATGAACGAAGGCCCCCTGTTATGTTTAGTGTTGCCATTCTCTGGACGCGAGCCATCTGGGAGGCGAAACTCCTTACACCTCTTCCTCCTTTCTTGCCTCTTCCCTTTGATACCAGGTTTGTGCACCATATGTCCGCTGCGTATAACATCTTGGGGAGGACTACACATTTGTATAGTTGGTTCATGAGTCTTCCATGGATGCCTTTAGTCGGTTTGATCATGCGGTTGCATGCCATGACGTATTTGGTGCCTTTTGCCATGGTGTGAGCGGTGTAAGAACCGACGGGGCTCTCACTGCAAGTTCAAGAGGGGTGTGGAGACCAAGACGTGAATACGAATCTGAGATTAATATATGAGAGATAGACTGAAATGAATGAGTGCAAAACAAAGTGACTTGAATGAGTGGATTTTATTGCCTCAACAGTCGTGAATGTGCATGGCCATTATATACCTCAAATGCTAAGGGTCCTCGGGTATGAATGATTAGGTGAAAATGGGGGCAGAAGGGATGTGGTGTTGCGCCTGACAGGGTAAGGTAGAGCACAGAGACAGAGTAGGAAATATTAAGAGAGTGGCAATATGAATGATTATGTTTTTGATGGAATTGGGAATGGCGAACTGAGAATAGTGACAAAAGGCAGCTGAGGGTTGAGAGTGCCTGAGAATACAGAGTTGAGATCGTTGTTGGCGGCGTGCTGATGGTGGTCAAGGTAAGCGTTGAGACGGCTATCTCCGTCTTCAGATGATTGGTAATCCTTACACCTCCCCCCAACTACAGATATCAACCGTCCTCGGTTGATCCCTTCAACAAATCTATATGTCGAACGAGTCTGGTAGTCCTGCGATTGCGTCTCTGTCAATGAGCTGAGTGACTTTGAGCCTGGTTGGCGAGCGGGAATGGTAAGGAATGAGACGAAACACGGCAAATTTGAGCTTTGAAATCAAGCCGTCGACTTTGGCGAGATGATAAGCACCATTCATGTTTCGCGAGACAACAACCATGGGACCGAAGTAATGTGGTTTACACTTCACATTGGATGCAGGCTCAATCTTTTTGTTGAGGACTAGTACGAGCTCGCCAGGTTTGAAGCTTCGGTTAGTGATGGTGTTCGAAAAATGGTGCTCAAAGTCTTTGACGGAGGCGTAACAGCTCGCTAGGATGCATTCGTGAATGCGTGCAAGATCCTCATCTTGTTTGGCAAGTTGCCTGTGCTCAAACAGCAAGGAGCTTGTGAGTGGAGATGGAACTGGTGATTTCGGGCATAAGGAAGGTCGCTTCTGTGATGTCGAAGGGAAGTAATGGTTCAACGCCATGAGCCATGTAGAATGGTGTATGCCCTGTGGATTTATGAGTGGTGACACGATCAGCCCAGAATATGTGGGGCACAATGGCTGGCCATTGTGTGATGTCTCCATGACAGGCTTTAACAAGTGAGTCACTGAATTGTTCTATGTGAGCATCCAACAATACCATTTGCCTTCGAGTTGTAGGCCGAAATACGAATGTGACAGGATGTGATATTTCGTCACGAGCCAGTCGAGTGCAGCCACAAACGGTGTTCCATTGTCAGTAACAATTTCCTCAACTCCTCCCCAATGACACAACAACTCTTCAAAAATAAATGCCCCAAGAGTGCGACCAGTCTCCTTCCATAGCATTCGCCATTCAGGCCATGCTGTTAACGAGCAATGAGCTTGAACAATGTACGAGTATCCATGAGAAGTCAGCATATGCATAGAGTCAGTGTAAGCTTTTCGAAATAGAGGAGCCAGAATTGAGACAGTCGGAGGAAGGACAACTTTTTCAACGGAACGAAGTTGACATTGATGGCATGTTTTGAGATACCACAAGAGGTCGTGATCAAGAGTTGGCCACCAGAAACGGTCAGCAATAGTTCATCGAGTAGAGTAAAATCCTTTGTGACCGAGATTGTCGTGGGTTTCATGGAGAATTCAAGCACAATCGAGCTGGAAAATGATGAGTTGGTGACGTCCTGCAGAATCACAACACCAAAGTCGTTTGTTATGAACAAAAAATTGTGCAGCCCGTTTAAGAAAACGAGTGCAATTAGAGAGCTGCATACCCGAAGGCAGTGCAAGCATCTCGAGATAGTGTTGAATGGCCCAAAGGTCATTGTCACGCTGTTTGGAGTCTTCGTTGCATGGGAGTTCAAGGTCAGTGTTTGGGTCGGCTTCGGCGGAAACAAAAACCTGTGCCCTCGTCATCATCCCAAGACTTCCATTGCAAGAATCCAACACCATCCATATCCCATAGCTAAGCACCTCGTCTATCCACTCTTCGACCTCTTCTGAGTCTTCTTCGTCAAAGTCTTCATCTTCCAGTGCGCGACGACGACTGCGATAGGCCATCAGGCCCAGTGTGCTTGGATCCTGAAACATGTTTGAGTGTGAAGTTGAACAACAAGATTCCTGCGATCCATCGGTTTACGGCTGCGTTTGGTTGAATATCAGGATTGTTGAGCATGCCTTTAATGTACTTTGTGTCGACTTCAACAACAAAATTCTTGATCCAAATGATCCAGACCTTCGTGGCTTTGAGGGCGCGAAATAAGCCATAGAGTTCAATCTTCGCTTGAGAATAGCGTGATTCTTGGTCATTCCATGTAATAGAACCGAAGCGAGAGGGTCGTCAATGATTTTCATTGTCAAGCTGAAGTAAAATCCAGCTGCAAGCGATATGGGATGAGTCAACAGCAAGAATGACGGAATTAGGACTATGGTAGTCGATTGGTCAAATGGCAGGGGAATTGATGATAGCGTTTTTGAGGGTGTCCATGGCCATCTGTGTGTTTTCATCCCAAATGAAAGGTACCATATTGCGTGTGAGATTGGTAAGCGGTCATGCAATGAAGGCATAATTCTTTATCCAATTACGAATAGTACCTGCAGTGCCGAGAAATCCACGAACTTCGGAGCAAGTTGAGCAAGGAGGCCAATTCTGAATTTTGGCAACCTTTGAGTCATCTGGAATGCGTCCATCATAAGTGCAGTGCTGTCCAACAACAATAACCTCAGGCACGCAAATGAAAAGCTTCTTTGCCGATACTGTGGCTCCTGCATGCCTAAGATGGTGTAAAACTCTATTCACGTCTAAGCAGTGTTCCCAAACGAATCGCCAAATGCTGGAATTTTCAGGAATTGTTACAAACATGCCTGGGCTGTCTAAGAGTTCGTATCATGTGCGAGGGCCGAGAACATTGACATCATCTTGAAAGTTTGGGGCAATGTCGATTTCGTGCTGAAGAATGAATGCCACATCATTTTGAAAGACTGTGGGAGAATCTGTCCATTCCATAGGTAATGCTGTGAGCCGAAATGTGCCAAGGGGAGTTTGGAATGTGGTTAAATCACGAGATTCTTTGGCTAAGGCACGATGATCAAAGCCAACAAACAGGTCCATCATGGTATAAATTGAGCGTCTGGCTGATTGTTCTGCAAATAGCTCGACATAAGGAAGGGTGGCAGCATCTTTGACAGTGATGGAATTTAACGGCTGGAGGTTGTGGACGATACAGATTGAGCCATTCTTCTTCGCAACACAAAACCAACTTGATTGGTAAGAGCTGTTTGATGGTTCATAGATTCCTGATGCGATTTTCGACTTGATGAGGGCAGTGACTTCATTGTGGATTCCTGGTGGGATAGGTGGCTGATGGTGCACCCAGGGAGTGTGCTCTATGGTTGGAATAATAACCAGCAGAAAATAATTGTCGCGGAAGTGTCCTTTCTCCGTCTCATCCCACACTAGCACTAACTCATTGAGAGATAAAATGTGTGCCACTAATTTTCACTCCTCAGGCCATAGGAATGAGTTCTGAAATATGCTGAGGTCGTCAATGTGTTCCGTAGTGAGGCGAGAACTGGAAATAAAATCTGGGGGGTTCGGAGAAACTGCAGGAAGGGATATAAGGGGATCTTCGGGGAAACGAAGAACAATACGAGCATGTGCAGGCATGGTTGTAGCCACAGGCTTGACTCAATTGGCAACTTTCTTGTAAGCGAAGACTCGATGAATGGGGTCATAGTCAAAGGCTTCCTGTAACAAGCATTCAGCAAGAGGACTGGCTGTCATGTGCAAAACGGCAGGAGGAGGGAATGAAGTTGGTGATGAGCTACTGAAGGCTGCTGCTGTGAGCATGAGTGTGTCTAAATGTGGCGGAGGGCGAGGGAATGTAGTGCAGGTTCGAACTTGTGTGATGTCTGTGGGATCATGAACTGTGACATAAACCATCTCCAACGTCTCCGACTTCGATAATCGAACGAGACGCTGCCACGGTCGTCCTAAAAGCAAGTGATAAGGAGCATCCACTATGACATAAGCGTGTGCCCATGTTTTGATACTGTCAACATCAATTTCGAGCATCTCAAGACACCTGGACATGTCCTGTGAGCTTCCGTTTTCAGTCTGCATGCACATGCGGATATCCTTATTGATTGGGGCTTGAGTCTTCTTCCAAACATCCTCTCTAATGACAACGAGCTCCAAGCCTTCGTCAAGCAAGGCCATTTCCATGTGAATGCCGTTGATGGTGACCTTAAGCTTGCGAAGTGGTGTGGCATGCTCAATTCGAGGTGGCAAAATGGTGCTAGCAGCAGTAAGAATGGTGGCTGGTGACGAGGCTACTCAATGAGTTCGGCAATGCTCTACAGCTTCCCTACAAAGATCCGGACTAATTGTGAGAAGGTCAGCAATTGTGATATTAGGAACCAGAGTACTGAGCATGCTTTGGTAGATGCAAGAGGCTGCTTCTGGAGTGGCTGCTTTTGATTCATAGACATAGGCTGGAGCTTTCTTTAGGGGTGCGAGAGGAATATCTGAAGGCAAGATTTCGACGGACCAAGTTTGTTTGCGAGCATGGGAGCTGGATGACGAGCCAGCAGCCTCCTTTGACTTTTCCCGTGATGGTGCTGTATCTGCGCTATCAAGTACCGCGTTTTTTGCCTTTGAACAAGTGATGGCAAGAGTATTTGTGCCTGAGCCATTGTCCTCGACTGTCGTGACTGTGGCATGATTCTCCGCGATTTGAGTACACTGAAGGAAGTAGCTCTCGGATATGAAGGCACTGGAGGGAATGTTTGAGCCTGGGGACATGTGCGAAGATGGAGTTGACAATGCAATGGATTGGGTGTGCCTATCTACAGCTTGCTGCAGGTTCTCAATGCCTTGTCGTTGAATGTGCGAGCCATCCGGATTGAGAAGGAAGAGATTTTTGCGGATGATGCATTTTGTGCGAAGATATTCAGCAGCTGTGGGACAAACACAAAGATAGTGAGGCTGTCCACAGAATACACACTGTGCTGGGAGAAGAGGGGCACTGGAAGGTATTGGAGGAGCTGCTGACATGTTGTTGCAAAGTTGGCGGGTGCAAGGAGCAGCCCAAGCATTAGCAGCAGCAGGAGCAAGGCAAACAAGCCGAGTGTAACATGCTGAGTAATTGACATCTCCGATATCGAGACTGTGCATCTGCTGTGCGAGTGCATCAACCTCATCCATTGTTGACTTCTGTGCAGCGTGAATGGGTGCTTGAGGCTGCGTGAAGCGGACAGTCTTTGTTTGCACTTCTCGTGGAGCATCACGAGGCTCATTGTCATCATCTGAGTCATATGCTGGATGATCCTTCATTCGTCGGTTGCTCATAGCTGTGGGAGGAGCGTGGCAATCTCTAATGGACTGGATGCGAAGAGTAATGGGGTCATTGAACTCGGCATCAAAGGCTTCGTCAGAGAAAACATGACGACCTGCCTCTACAACCTTTTCAAAGTGTGCCGGCTCGTTTCGGTTGAAGTCCGGATCCTTGAGCTCGAGTCATTGAAGAATCTGACGATGAGCATGGACTGGTAACCCCTGCCAAAAGTACTTATCACAATCACGTCCTGAGATCTTGTTGTTGGTGACAAGCCAGACAGCGACAGCACGAAATTGACTATAGTACTGCATTAGCTCCTTCTCTGTATTGATGTCGCTGTCAGCTTGGTTAACGACAATGTGTTCGAGCTCGCGAACAGTATAGCGCTGCCCCTTGCTAGCACCTGGATACTGGCCTAGGATGCTCCTTTTGAAAGTGCTGTATTCGCGACTCTCGTAGCCCGTAAGTGTTATCCAAAAATGCTTGGTAGCGAGATCCACGTATCACACTAGACTCTTACACTTATCAGCACTGGATAGACTGTAAGTAGAGGTGAGATCCTCAAACATCTCGAAGAACTCCAACAGTTCTGATGTCTTGCCATTGAACAGCGGCGCTTTGCTAGAGTTAGGACTGGGCATGGCGCCTATGCCTTGGAGTACATGAGACATGGCTACCGTTGGCTGCGTCGTGACTCGAGCTCTGTTGTTGGTGAAGATGGCGGGTCTCAGAAAGAAGGGCTGGGGCTGCTGAAAGTTAAATGACAGCTGTGATAAGGGTGCGGTAGGATATGATGGTCTATGGTCAGTCTGGTGCAAATGGATTCTCATCATCAATGGCGTCGTCGTCGTCATCCGAGTCTACTCTATGACAGATTTGATAGGGAGCTGGGTTTGTCGGTGTTATGGGATCTTGTTGAGGGATGGAGCCTGAGGGGCCGATGGCGCGATGGTTGCCAATGTGAGTCAGCGTGGATATGGAGTGCGCTATGGTAGGTCAAGGATCTGAAACACACCCCTTGCGGTGGGCTCCAATATGTAAGAACCGACGGGGCTCTCACTGCAAGTTCAAGAGGGGTGTGGAGACCAAGACGTGAATACGAATCTGAGATTAATATATGAGAGATAGACTGAAATGAATGAGTGCAAAACGAAGTGACTTGAATGAGTGGATTTTATTGCCTCAACAGTCGTGAATGTGCATGGCCATTATATACCTCAAATACTAAGGGTCCTCGGATATGAATGATCAGGTGAAAATGGGGGCAGAAGGGATGTGGTGTTGCGCCTGACAGGGTAAGGTAGAGCACAGAGACAGAGTAGGAAATATTAAGAGAGTGGCAATATGAATGATTATGTTTTTGATGGAATTGGGAACGGTGAACTGAGAATAGTGACAAAAGGCAGCTGAGGGTTGAGAGTGCCTGAGAATACAGAGTTGAGATCGTTGTTGGCGGCATGCTGATGGTGGTCAAGGTAAGTGTTGAGATGGCTATCTCCGTCTTCAGATGATTGGTAATCCTTACAGCGGCGTGTTCCTTGAAGTTGAGGTCTTGATCTATGATTACTCCTAGGAACTTGTGGGACTTTGATGGGTGGATGGTGTGTCCTTGGATGACTATGGGTTGGGGGGGGGAGGGGGGGGGAGACAGTCTTGCGGAGGTCGTTTTCATCTGGTATGTGTTGCTTGGTCAGGAAGATGAGTGCGGTTTTATCTAGCTCAAACTCAGTGTGGTGTGTTCTGCTCCATTCGAGAGTGCCGTTTTCCTTTTCCATCATGTGGGTGAGCTTGCCATGTGCTTCATCGTACATTTTTCTGTTTGCTGCCAGAGCGACATCGTCGAGGAAACCTAAGCTGAGCTCTCCACTGCGGGTCTGTGTGTTAGCTACTCTTAGTACGTCTGAGTTGTAGAATATGAAGCCTAGCGGTGATAGTGGGCATCCCTGGTCGACATCTCCTCGAACATTGAATGGGTCAGATTGAAAGTCGTCAAAGACGAGGCGTGTGTTGCAGCCGTTAAGTCGTCTGTCGTACCATTCTGTGTATTCCTTTGGGATGCCCGCTGTCCATAGGTTGTGGAGTAGTCTGCTCACGACCACGCTCGGGAATGTGGCCTTGACATCTAGGAAGAGCATGGAGACGAATTTGTTCTTGGAGGCCCAGGAGTCTGTGATGAACTTGGCTGAACAGGTGTAGCGAGTCTGAGGTGGATTGGCCTGGTCTGCCTCCAAAATGGGTGGAAGGGAGTAGGTTGTGTTGTTCTGAAATGAATGTCAGATCATCGGCTACACAAGATGAAAGGATCTTAGCCATGGTGTCGAGTAGCGTTATTGGTCGGTACACTTTTGGAGTGCTGTAGTCTGGCTGGCCGGGTTTCCTCAGAATGATTGTTGTAGATTGCTTCCATCTGTCTGGGTAGATGCCTAGTGAAAAGGTTGCTCGGAAGATTGGTGCCATGTACGGTACTGATAGGTGCGCGTTCTTTGTGAAAACTACATTACTTATGGCATTCGGTCCTGGTGCCTTGTATGGGGAGAGGCGCTTGATTGCTCTGTGGACTTGCTGGTTTGTGATCGGGGAGAACTCGCACACTGGAGGGGGGTATTTGTAGTCTGGGTCTAGATAATCGTTAGCTGGTGGGGGGCGGAAAAATACCTCATAGAGCAATTCGCTCTTCCTTGCGTTGTCTTGCGTCATGTTTCCTGGGTTGGCTGTTGGATCCTGAAGTGTCTTGATGCAGGTGTGTATTTGGTCTATTGAGTTGCTTGCTGCATATCTGTGAAAGGACCACATGTCCATTAGTGTTAGCGATTTGAGCCATTCTGTCCAGTGTTCCTCCTTTGCTTTTCTCATACTTTCCAAGAATTTGTTCCTAGCTACTCTGTATTCCTCGTGTATCGGGTCCTGTCGTCTTGCAAGTTTGGCGTGAGATTTGTGTGCCAATTTGTGTACAGCTTTGCGTTCCTTGTCTAAGGTTTTGGACCACCAGCGCTTTGAGTATGGGGACGGTTGTGATTTTGGTACACATTTTGTGGCCATTTCTTCTATGGCGTTGGTGAGGTCGGCGAAAGCTTTGTTGAATTAGTCGGCATGGGTTGCGACTGAGGCGTGTGGCTAGTTTGTCTTCGAATTCTTCCCAGTTGACTTGATGGTAGTTGTATCTGGGGATAGGCGGTGAGCATTCTGGTCAGAGGTCAAATATACTAACTACTGGGAGGTGGTCCGTTACGACTGGTCAGAGGTGATATTCTACCTTGCAGCTTATGATGTTGTTCGCGAGTCCTGGGGTGCAGAAGACATTGTCTGGTCGGGTGAGGTTTTTGGTGTTCGAGGCTTCTAAGGTGGCTATCGCTGGTGGGAGTATCTGTACAAGGTTATATATAGATATTAGATTTATTAACAGGCCCACCGCATCTAGGTTGGCTGCAGTGAATAAGTGGCCATTATGAGGCATCTCCCACATGGGGTGGTGGTGATTGAAGTCACCTAACCATATTATATGTTCTGTTGTGTATTGTTGTCCGCCTTGAGCGGTTCTGTGCGTATTGTGTTCTGTGGCCATGTGCCTTTCAAGAAAGTGTATTGTGCGATCACTGTCGCATGGATTATATATGTTGTATATATGCACCTTTCCGAATGGGCCTGTGAGTTTGAGAGCCATTACATTCGGTGATTTAATTGGTACAATGTGCCAGTTGTTTTTCGAGAGACACTTATTTATGAGGATGATTACTTGGGTGTGGTCGGGTGTATTGTTGTGATCCGTGGGGTATATTATGTCCCAGTAAGCTCTGAGGTTTGATGTGTTAGCTAGGTTGACAGGGTTTAGAAAAGGTTCTTGGATGCATGCTATGTTGTATTTGTTAGCATTGAGGTTCCTTAACATGTGCTCCCAGGCATGAGATGACTTTCGAAGGTTTTGTTGCCAGATTCTGAGGTCGTCCCACAGTGCGTTGTTGTTAGGGTTGTCCGTCATTAGTTCCATCCTGTGGTAAGTGCTGATCTGTCTGGGATTAGTATGTCTTCGATTGGCAGTGGCGTTGGTGACCAGTATCTTGAGGAGCCCTTGTCAGATGGGGTTGGGGATGAGAAGGTGTTGCGGGTGTCGTGAGGTTGTTGTTGTTGCTGTGTTTTCTGGGTGAGGTTTGGCCAGTTGTCGGTGAGTCAAGTTTGCATTTGAGTCTTGGGTCCCAGCGGTATGTTGTTGGGGTTTCTGAGGTGTGAAGGAGGGTTGTTGCGGTGGTCGGTGTCTACTGTGCATCTTTCTTGTCGGTTTCGTTGAGGTGGGGGATATCTGGTGTTCTGCTGTGTGGGAGGAGTTTCATTAGTAAAGTTTGGGGGAGGAGCGTCTTCCCAGTTTGAGTAGGCTTCAGGGAGTGTTTCCCAGGTTAGTGGGTCTTCGGTGGGGAAGTAAATATACTTATTCTCCGCGTTTCTGTCCTTGTGAGCCTCCCATTTCTTGACGAAGGTTGGACAGTCCCTGCTCCATGTGGCATGTCCATGTTCTTTGCAATTAATGCAATAGTACAGTGTTGGATCTGTGACTGAACAGGTGTTGGTGCAGTGGTCCTCTCCGCATGTTCCGCAGGTGTCTTTTTCTTGTTGGCAGTCTGTTGCTAGGTGGTTGCCGTCAAAAGAGTGGCATCTTAGACATCTGGTCGGTTCCAGGAGTAGTTTATGTCCATAAACTTTCTTTCCATCGACTGACAGGCTGAATCTGATTGCTTGGTTAGCTCCTACCTTTGTGGTGAAAGTGATGGCGATGTGGGCTGTTTGTTGGTTGGGATTGCGGTGTTCTATTGGTTTGATGTACCTGGCTTTGGTTATGGTGTGCTGTGGGAGGCCGGCCTTTTTCTCTATGTCCACTAAAGCTGCTGGGTTGTTGGGGACGAATGAGATTGGTACGTTTTCCATTAGAATGTGGAAGGATCTGTCTTTGATTGTTACGTTAGTACCATAGAATTCTAGAAAGTTACTCTTGTTGGCGGGGGTGTTGAACCATTCAGCTGACTCCTTGGTGTTGAGTTCGTGGAGAATTCCTCCATGCGGGAGCCTTCTTGCTGAAACAAAGGAGAGGTCTTGTGGGTATTTGATGTTCTGTTGAGTCATTAGTTCTAGGGCCATGGACGCCTTTGTGACCAGCTGGGACTCCGTTAGGTCTCTGAGAGAATTGGGGGACAGGAGGGATCTTCTGTCGATGAGTATTTGACGTGTTTGAGCTTCATTGCGGGCAAGAATTTTGGTCAGTTGAGCAGGAGTTCCTGCTTTGATCGCATCTGCATAAGTTCTAGGTCCTTCAGACCCTCTGAGCTCTGTTTGCAGCCTTGATTGTTGGTTAGTCTTTTGGATCGCTGATTCTAGTGCTTTCTCTATTCCTTCTGGGGACATATTCATTTGATTGTGTACCTCTTTTACCGTTTCTTCCATGGTTGTCTTCTGCATTTCTACGAGTTGTGTTAGTGCCTTGACGTTGTTTTCTAGTTTTTCAATTGGGTTTTTGATTAGTGAGTCGACTTTGGTTAGTATGTTGTTTATGCCACAGGTTTGGCTGTCCTCGTGGAGGATGAATGCAAAGGACCGTAGTATTTCTGTGAGGGTGGCTCCTGTGTTAGGGGTCAAGCTCAGTTCAAATAGGGCTGCCGTGATCTCTTTGAGTGCATTTCCTGCTACTGGGATGGTGAGGCCATGGGTGGTGAGGAGTTTTCTTGCTGTTGCAGTGCTGTTGATGTCAGTTTGAGTCCCGGTGCCTATAGCGTGGTCTTCCAGGCTCTTACTGAACGACAGCAAAGGTTTACTGGCTGTTGTTTTCCAGCTTGTTCTGGTTGTGATGCCCATGGGAGCCGTTGGAGTCGGGCTGGGGGCACCGCTTGGGGCCATTGGTGCTGCTTGGCTGGTGGCAGGTGCCTATAATCTAGGTGATATTAGTTAATGGGTAATGGTAGAGGATAGCTGAAGGTTTGGTGGCGCCTTGAGGCGTTGAGTGCGCTGTGAGGCGCAGTGTTGGAATTTGAGTTCCGGGGTCCTTTTTGGGGTGCCACTTGGTACGGGTCCAAGAAGCGATCCACCTGAGTGATACATATTACATACTATCACTTACTACACCTCCGTGATGGTCCACTATTTCGTGATTTTTGTCTACAGCACTCAATTTCAAAGTCATTACTTAGCTACTTCACTGAGTATACTCTACACACTATACTAGCATATTCCAAGTGAAACGAAATAAATCTGCTGAGAAATGGTGGAGATCGTGTTTTTAGCGTGACAGCAGCAAAAATCACAGATTGGTGTCACCTGCTATGGCTGCCAACGTCAGACATTAAATTTAACAGCACGTTTCATTGCAGCTGCAATCCAGAGACGACCTCATCACTATTGCCAGCGCTCTTTCGCTACCCAGAGATGGGACAATGATGGAACTGACAGGACGAATTAGAGATTATCTTGCAGGAAATCCTGAGTGCGCCAGTCAGCCAAGATTTGTGGGACTTCTTGGGGGCAAATGAGCGAGTGCCGTCAGTAGTAGTTACAGCGTCGGCAGCTTCAAATTCGAGTCAACCACGCGCTCAACCCCACATTCAAGTCACAGACTTGACAATCCACCTAGTGCTAGTATGTATCAATACCTACATCAACACACTACATTCCCGAGCCCTCAGCATCATTTTACACAGTGTTAAAAAAAATTCATTTAATGATTCTATATACTAATTCTCCGTACGTACTGTAGCTCACAGACTTACTAGTAGCGTCCCTAATCAGTTGCTCACGAACTTCTTAACATCTGCCGAACGGACTGTGAATTCGGTGGGTGTGACTGGCTGTTACTATTCATGACATGAGTGTGACTCACGAAAACAATGGACCGTCACGGAGGTGTAGTAAGTGATAGTACACAATCGCGAAGGTCTAAAGCGTGCGCATGCCTTCAGAGGACGCAAATGCCATCGAATGCTTTGATAAGTAACCAGATAAACGTAAAAAGCATCATCTGTACAAACTCGATGGCTACTAAGAGTCTAACTAACTATTCATTGACGCAGCAGATGTTGCATCCTAGGGTGCTATCCCAGGCGACGTGGTAACCTTCTTGACAGTACATGGGTTCTATAGGAGCCGCTTGGCACTGATAAATGCATGAACCAGTAGGAGCAGCTGCATTCACCCCGATGGCAGCGATAAGGATGGCAAGGTAGTAAATGAACTGGATCTTCATGATGTCTAGCAGTGTATATATATCAGTGATGGCCCTCATTGCCGAGAAATCGCTCGCCATACAGTTTGGTTGTGGTGTGCGCAAAGGTGCTGATAGTGGCACGTCCAGGAAGAACTAAATGCAATAGATATGTCGTCTAAGTTGCTTTAGTTTTCAAGTCTCAGGATTAAGTACTCATGTAGACGGGGCGATTGTTTTCAAGTTTGAACTTGGGATCTGTGAAACTTGCCATTCAATTTATATCAACCGTGTGGCAGATCTGGTTCTGCCCAAAGGTACTCATACAGTGGCAGCACCACGTCAGGGACGGCCAACATCATGTTGCTAATAGCGACTAGACGAAACATTTATGTGGGATATTTCAAGTTGGCCCGTTTCTAGTGTTGTTGGCAGATTACTGCCGTTTTGCCATTCGCCGTGGCAGAACTTGGCAGAAGTACAAAAGGTACCGGAGGATGCGTGAGACGAATTAATGATTAACTGTATAGTTGTCAATGCGAATCCTTTCTGTATCTACCCAGTAAATAAACATTAGCGCTACGTGTTAATCCATGGCTAAGTCTGGAGGGCGCCCTCTTCCCAAGGTTGTTGAAGACAATTTTGACCGTCTCGAAGATGTCCCAAACTCATCCAATAGATCTTATTTCAAATGCAAACACTGTCCGCTTAATTCCCCCGGTGCCCACATCGAGAACCGTGACAATAATCTGCCGAAACACCTTACCGATGCCACACAATGCCGAGTTGAGGCCGGTATGGTGCCAAAATCCATCGATGGCGAGTTCTCGGTGATTGATCATGGGTTGACAATAATGATGCAACGTCCCAACCACCCTCTTCACCTCTCGCACAACGGTTTATTGTAGTCGACAAAAAATTCACCTCTGTCTGGTTTTGCCATGGCACAACCCTAGTTCTGCCACGTTCTGCCGGTTCTGCCGGCAGAACTGCCCGCAAATAGTTCTGCCCACAACACTACCCGTTTCAGCAGCCAAAATGACAGCAATGGTGTTGAACCAGCCAGTACGTCACATTCAGCTAAGTCCTCTTGAATCAAGGTGAATAGCTAATTCAATGTCTGTAAATCACTTACCCTGGTATGCATGTAAAGGTCAGGGGAACCAAGACCCCTGCCACTCCTGACCTGTCCTGACAGAGCGCCCCGCTCCATCGCTCCCACCCTAGCAAAAGTCAAGGTGATGGCTGGGACTCAAATCTTTCCTCCTCTTGTCCCTGATAACATGTTACGGTCACATCCTGCTCTTGATATCGACGGGAAAGACCTCCAAGTTAGGTGGCAGGTAGTCCCAAATGGCAAGAATTCGAGCGCGAGTGCGTGACCGTTTGCAAGCCTCGCGTAAGAATTTAGAAACTATTGGATTCCGCAATAGAAAAACACCCGCCGCTCACAGCCTCGAACTACTATCAATGGCAACATGCCTGAATGTTAAAGACTTGGGCCGTGTTTTGGATGATTGGGATGGGATCCGTTGGGAGTAGAGTCGATGAGGAAGCGAATATCTGAGGCATGACGAGTGAGTGATTTCCGCCATCACAATGACAACGAGTAATATTTGGTATAAGACACTCAGTGTACCTCTGAAAGGTGCTTGGGAAGTCGGAAACACCGGTTTATTTTTTCTTCGACCGAGCCTTCAATAGCAGTGAAGCATGTACAAGCATCTGAAGTTCTGCCGCATTCACGAGCACCGAACATCTTCCGCACGTCACATCTACTGGGATCGGAAGGCACAGTTATTCCTGATCTAGGAAGACAATGTGCTGGCGTTGTTGGTAAGGGGAACTGACGCGATGAGACGATCTGTCCCAATGACATAATACCACGACCCACTCAATCGGTTTGCACAAGTACTGGCAGCTGATTTTATTTGGAGTCGAAATCAATACAACGACGTCTTAATTTGGGCACGTCAGATGTTTCAGCGCTTCCAAACGTTCCTCGTAAGTCATGCCTGCCGCCGTCTTCACCACAAATACATGTGATCAACTGTTTCATTTTTGCATTTGACTAGCCGCAGCTGCTCATGTAGATTTTGCGCAGAAGCCGGTCATGTTAGATGCAGATATGAGACTCGCCCCTTCAATCTTGGTATGCTACTTTCGCTGATATAACATAACATTGTATCTGAGCCTTGTTCAGGTTTCTCTTTTACCTTACTCCGGTCTTATCCTACCAACTCATTTCGCCGCACTCAGCATATCCTCAACTTTCCTCGTCATTTATTTCAATGCACACAACCTGTCGAGCTTAACTAACTCTGTACGACCTCATAACCCAGGACGGTGCGTTGCTTGATGTAAACAATGCTAGCCTACATGCCTTCAGTTTCTCTTAACTCTGTAGTCCATTCTTATATGTAGTAGGAATAGTCAACACCAAACAGGTAAGAGTATTTCTGACCTGATCAATGCCGTAGAGAACTTACACTTTCTTCATATCAGTGTCCGACTGGCCATCCTGACCGTGTCATCGCTCTCATCAACCTAACGTCGAGTTTTCAATGCGACATTCACAAGGATGCTCACAATCTGACTCAGCACATCTCTATAGTACAACGTTCTTGCATTCATTTCGCAGGGTTACCCCGAGCATCTCTCTACCATCTCTCCGAAGCGCTCGCTGACTTGGTACCACAACAAGAAATGATGCTGCTGACACTCAGTATGTATTTACGAACGTGGAACGAACTTTCCAAATAAATACTGCACTGTGTAGGCATATCTCCTTGAACGTGAGCAAGGTTTATTCATGCACTCAGTGATATGTAAGTATACGCTCACACCAGCAACGACCGAGTGTATTTGTGCGAGTCCTTTGACCTCGAGAATTCGAGCAAATTTTTCCAATCATTCTTGCTAGTTTGTTTGTTGCTCACCCCGCACCATCCATTTCGTTCTAATGACAGTTGAAAATTATTAGCTTCGAGTCGGACTGTCTGTGCTCGCTAGTATCTTCCTATTCACTCTCGTCATCCTAATTCGAACACGGTTAATGGAGCACTAGTAGGAACATTGTCCAGAGCTATATCTTTTTCAGATACATTTTGCAACGTCAAGTAACTTAATCAAGCAGCACGACAAAACTTGGAATAGATAAAACGAACAACCACTCCCTACAGGCTCTCCGAAGATTGAAAATCACATCGAGCATCTCTCGTACTACACGTCACTGCTAGTTTTCCATATGAACGTGTTCTTGGAAAGCCATTGAACTCATAGCAGTTGCTGTATCGGAGTCCGCCACGAGTTTCGCATGATATTCTCGAACGCTAAGGATGAGGCGTGGTCCCAGCACAGATAGCTGCATTATGTCGAAGATTTGAGAGAAACCGATGTAAATTTGAGTGTCCAGGGAGAATGCGTCCTATAGTAGAAAATTGATGAATCATGGGCACATAGAGGTCAGCGACAGATTGGCATACCGCTGCGACAGTCGGAGAGAATAAAATGAGTTGAAAGCAAGAGAAGCCTACAAAACTAGCGCGTGCAAAATTTCAGCAGAATAAGAGAACGAACCACATTCAAATTATGGGCTCACCTTGCAAAGTAACCATGTGAGTTTTGCATAACACCGTGAAACAGTCCCCGATAATTCCTCCCGCTGAGTGTCTTCGCAGTTCACGGAAGTGCTTCACAGCAAATCCAGATCGCGAGACACAGGGCAAGGACCTCCATATGGTATCAAGTATCAAGTCATGAACCCAGAAATACGGAATCTCCCGTATAGCTAATCTTGCACTCGTAAGTGCCAGATAAAACGTATTCCTCTAGTACT